TTTGAAGCAACAGCCAAAAATACATTGTATGGGTCAAAATTATCGATTTTTCTTTAATTCCAAAAATCATTAGGATATTAAGTAAAGATCATGTTCCATGAAGATATTTTGTAAATTTCCTACTGTAAATATATTAAAACTTAATTTTTGATTAATATGCATTGCTAAGAACTTAATTTGGACAACTTTAAAGGCGATTTTCTCAATATTTAGATTTTTTTTGCACCCTCAGATTCCAGATTTTCATATAGTTGTATCTCAGCCAAATATTCTATCCTAACAAACCATGTGTCAATGGAAAGCTTATTTACGCAGCTTTCAGATGATGTACAGATCTCAATTTAGAAAAATTGACCCTTATGATGTATGTATATATATATATGATGATATATATCTACATACAATGAGGCTGCAAAAGTAGACTAGTGAGTAGATGACAGTAGATGAAATGTTTGCATGATGATGTTTAATGTCCCAGACAAGCTCTGTAGTCACATTTAGCCACGTGTTAGGCATCGTCTTTTTCAAGTAAAAACTTTTTTAAAAAAATCACGGGGGAATATTACTGATGTATTTATGTTGTAGAATAAATTGTGAACTTATCTTGAGCTTATGTTCACCCAAAACAAAACATACAAAAAAAAATCATTAAACCAGTGACCTCAGGAAGATGGAACCAGAACTCCTTTCCTTGTCTGGGAAGCCAGTATATTAAAGGTATTAAAAATTATTTTACTTTTTGTATTATTATTATTATATATATATTTTTTTTTTGGTTTGGTTGTTTAGCTTGTTTATGTTTAAAAATATATATATTATTATTTAAGATTTTATTTATGTTTTTTTAAGTGTTTATTTGAAATCATCTGTCTGTAGCATGCAACTTTATTTAGCAACGTTATTTTTGGTTTATGAATGAATTATCTTGTCAAGTTGCTGCAGAGAGCACACTGACTGTTGAATTGAAAGTTTAACTTGCTAAATACAATAGTTTTGGCCAGTGGTGGTTCTAGGTCACTTTGTTGTGGTTTATTAATTATAATGAGCAGCCCACAGAAGATTATCCCCCTTATTACATGGCTACTTAATAAAAAAATGAGATAATAACCCAAATAACCCGCAATACCTGCCCAAATGCTCCAGCTGGGAAAGAGAGACAGTGGAGTTACAGTAGCTGAGTCTCTGCCTCTCTTGATGCTTTGACAGTAATTTGCACTAGGAAGTTGAGAAGCCGCAAAAACTGATTCGGCTGGGATATTAAAAACAATATCTGTTTACCTCTGATTATTTGCATCATTTCATATCATGTTTCATATACAAGCTGTGAGCTACAGCTACATCCTGTATTGTAGATTCAGTTCTAAGCAGAAAGCGAGTCCTTGAGTAATGCACTTATATCCGGGGTCTCCGGCACGCTGTGCTGTAGGTTGCTTTAGAAAAAACAGGACTGCTAAACGGAAAGTAATAAATGTTTCTTTACAGAAGAGCCCGTAATGTAATTTAGCGGCACAAATTGAATTTTGTGGCTCATTTAAAACAATGAGAGGAAAATAGATTGAATTACAAAGTCTGTGTTGTCTGTGTGAAAGAGATGTCCCTTTAAAGCTCAAACGATTTCAGACCAGGTTTTCATGAAGTATAGGAGAAAATGTGAGCTAAGGGAGTCAGAGAAAGTGTGGTGTAGAGAAGGTCTAATAGCACTGCTGTTGCATTTGGGTGATTTCAGTCCAGACTGCTTCGTTGATTATAATGGGAGCAATTTCTTTTTGTTGCATTATGTGTACAGTCAGTGTAGGTGCAGTGAAACTTAGTGCATTAAATGTAGAATTCAACTGATGTGCAGTCACAAAGTGACAGATGTGCAACTCTTCATACAGTATATAGATTAGTGTACAATACCTTCAGTTACTACTAGGGCTGTGTATCACCAGCAAAGTCACGATACGATACGTTACCAGTGTTTTCAGAAAGCAAGTGCGTTTGTCCACAGTGGAGAGAGAGCGCACGTGCACATGGTTGCCAGGTTGACTTACTACGCAACTTTTCTTTTAGTCTTCGTAATTTTGAATCAGTATCACAATTTCAGCAGTGCTACATGTAGCTCTATTTAAGATTTCCCCCCGTTTTAGTTAGTTTTATATTTTACTGTCACCACATCTACAGCTGATGTTAATTTGTTAGGCCATTTCTTATCTTATCCTATCATCTTATATTATCTCAACTTATTTATTTAATTTTATTTTGCTGTTATTGGGTTACGTACATTTGTTGTTGTTTTGTGTTTGTTAATTATAGCAGATATGTGCAAAGTTCAAGTCAAGACCACCAGACAAACCTTCAAGGTTTCATATTAACCAGATGATAAGATCAGATCATGTTAATATGGTTGAACACTGGAAACACGAGACTCAGCATTGTGCTCACTGACCTTTAGACTGTGAAGCTAGAAGAAAACTACATCAACATCAACCCATTATTCTTATTTCAATTTCATGTTTATTTTTTTATAATATTTTGCAATGTCTTTGTGTGTGTGTGTGTGTGTGTGTGTGTGTGAGCCTAAACAGGCATCACTTTTAGTGATGCACATATCATCCACAATAATAATCTCAACCACCCAGAATGCTCTCACCATTTGTACTATCATCATGAATTTTATGCCAAATGTTATGCTTCTTACAGTGAAGTGTTCTGTTATTTTTCATCAGTGTAGATTCACAGGAATGTATAGAGGCTGACTCCAACATCCTGGCAGCTAGTTTTGCACATTAAACAATTGACTGTATGAAGGATACGGTAAATTAAATAAAGAATTGAAACATTCAGCTTTTGTTAGCACCCATTATTGTTAATACAACCGTTAGATGATTTGATGAATCAGCCTTGAGTTCTAAACTAGTTAATTACCAGAATTAAGTCGTTGATACGATAGTACTCTAAATATGATCATCAAGACATATAATATCACTTTTGATGATAATATAAGTATCATCACTCCATTTTTAGAGACGGGACATAGACATGTGATTTGAAAGGCATTGAATGGCAGACGCACAGCTGTACAGTTATATAATACATGCTCATTTTTAATCTCTTCTGTCAATTATTGATGAAGCAAAATGCAAGTTATTAATCATAAGAGGTTTTAAGGCTGATTTGATGGGTTGAGTATATTCTTTTGATTTGAGGGTTCCTGTAGTACAACGCTGGTCCCAGGATATGCATGAAGTGCTAAAATGTGTTTCATAAATGCACTGTATGCCGCTTCAGATAAAAGTGTCTACCAAATGCACAAAGGTAATCGTTAATCATTAAGTTACTGTAAAGCAACACACACATTTTGCTCTTGAAATGACCTGAGAAAATCACACTCTTCCAACAAAGTGTTACATAAATAACAGTCCAAATAACAGGTTTGTCCCGTTCATGTCAGTTGTCCCTTTTTCCATATGGTGTGTTGTTGTTGTTGTTGTTAGCAAATACATTACTCATAATTAGTTATATCAGCGTCAGTGTTTAAGTTTTTTATGTGTTTATTAAACCTGCCCACATGCATTTGAACACACAGCATTTTTCCGATTTGTACTCAGGGCTCGCAAAATGTATCACCATCCTGCCTGACGGGCTATCTTAAAGGGGTCATATGATGTTGCTAAAAAGAACATTATTTTGTGTATTTGGTGTAATTAAATGTGTTTATGCGGTTTAAGGT